GGGCCTGAGGGGAGGGCGGCGGGAGGGAGGGAGAGGCCTGAACGCGGCCCCTGAGGAAGCGGGCGACAGGACGCGCCCCGCTCAACTGCTGCTTCTGTTTTCCTTCCCCGCAGAAAGGGCTTGTCCCAGTCCGCCTTGCCCTACCGGCGCAGCGTGCCCACGGTAAGGGGCTGCCTCGGCGCTCTCGGCGGGCTCCGGCTCCCGGGGCGCGGCCTAGCTGCGCCTCTGAGGAGAAACCGTGAGGAGACAGTTGTTCTTGTAACGCCGTGCTGAAATACAGAAAGCCAATAGAGATTACCAGATTGGTTTTAAGTTAAAGACACTGAAAGAGAAAAGTGCTGTTTGCTGCCTATCTGGCTTAGCGGGCTGAGAAGTCTGTTTTTTTTTCTTTACATCCATTTTTGGAGGGTGCCAGTGCGATTTAAATTATTATTGTGTATTGATAATTCTTAGGGATTAAGTTGTTCCCCTTTTGAGTTTGGTTTGCCTTTGTGGAATAAACTTACAGTTTTCCTTGCTGTGGCTGTAAAACGATTTGCCACTCAGAGCACTAATTTTAGTAATTCCAGTGTTCACTTTTGGTGGGGCATGCTGATTGTTTTCACCTCTGAGGCTTGTCCGTCATCCGAGCCAATAGTCTCATTTGGAGGGTTGGTCTGGCTGTAGGCAAAAATGTCGGCTAAAAGGTTGTATCTCCCCAAAAGTTGCTATATTACTAGAAGTTCTAGATAGTTCTCTCAAGCACTATAAAGTACTAGCTTCCAGCATTTAAAGGTTTTTGCGTAGTCAGCCTGTGCATCTGTATTAAACAGTATTCATCAATGTGTGTGTGTGATTTTTTTTTTTTTTTCCCCCATTTAGTGGTTGAAGCTTACTTCTGATGATGTAAAGGAACAGATCTACAAGCTGGCTAAAAAAGGCCTGACTCCCTCCCAAATCGGTATGGTTTTTGAATTCCCATGTACAGAGAAAATGTTTTTTACAGTTTATAATGCTTTAACCGCTCCCTCAAATGGATCACAATGCAAAAAAAAAAAAATGCTGTTTTTATGATTGTACGTGTTCCCCGTGTGGATACCTTCAGCAGTGTAGCAGCTTCCATTCTTGCAAGGTCCTTACTTGATAAAGATGGAGCAAATCATTTTATTACTCTCTTGCAAGAAACTTTTTCTTCCCTTGTTTTTCTAATTAAGTTGTGTTCTATACATAAGCATCTGTTTAATCTTAGAACCTGTCCGTAAGAGTGTTTGCTAATGGATATTACAGGGAAGTTTAAAAATAAACTTTACAAAAGTCCTGTTTCTCATAGGAAAAGAAATATCAAATATCTGGTAGGTTCAGTAGCTTACTGACCCAGGCACTGTGCGGGTAACTGATGAACTAGTTTCTGGTGGCTTGCATCCCTTTAAAGTTTCATGTATGTGAATGTGCTTTATATAGTAGTGAGTTTTGTGGTGTAGTTATGATTGTGTGAAAGACTTTTCTTTTTCTGGCATGGTTGTTCCCAGAGTATTAGTGGTTCATATGTATAAGTTAACCCTTCCTTTAAGGTGCTTTAAGAGTGCCCTGCAGTGTGACTTTCTTGCTCGATTCTTGCTGTAAATTGTAGCTAAAGAGCTCCCTAGTAAAACGTATGTAATACAGTGCACAGAAGTTGTACCTGAGAGAAGTTTAAATCTTAGGTAACACACACAATCTTTATTTTCACAATACCTAATTTTAGTAAGTCCTACTGACTGCTGTCTTAGCTCTTAATATGTTACTTGCCTGAATATGACAGATTAGTTGTTTTTTCTAAGTGCTCCCCAATTTAAGCTGTAAATGTCTTTCAGGTGTGATCCTGAGGGATTCCCATGGTGTTGCCCAGGTTCGCTTCGTTACTGGCAACAAAATTTTGAGAATCCTTAAGTCGAAGGGACTGGCCCCAGATCTTCCAGAGGACCTTTATCACCTGATCAAGAAAGCAGTGGCTGTTCGCAAACATCTTGAGAGAAACAGAAAGGTGACAGCTAATTTATCCAGAAATTTTCTCAAATAATACACCAGCGTTTTTACTTTTGTTTGATCCTATCTTAAAAGTAAACTTCACGGGGCTGTTCCTAAAATGTGCAAGTGAGGAGAGAGCCCAACTTACTGTCCTATATAATATGTATGTTCTGATATCGTTCAGTTTAGATATTTTGTAATCTTTAATACTATATAGGGTTTTGTGAGTACTTTTTAATTAAAAAAAAAACTCGGAAAAAGGAAATAATTTCTCTATAAAACTATTTTTTTAGATGGGAAGAGAGGTAAAAATGAAGTTGTGAACCACCCTTTTAACAAAGCTAAGACCTTAGTGCAGGTCCTGTTAATAGCCCCTTTTGAATAAAATTAGGGTGGTCTCTTTTTTCTGGTAAAGGAGAACTGACTTTCTTAAAAATATTGTTTAAACTACATATTTTGGTCTTGTTCTGATTTAACCAAGCTCACAAGACTTTGACAAAGGGAACATGAAGTTTGTAGTGCTAGCTGTACATGTTGGGCCTTGCCAAAACTCATCTGAATGATCATCTCGGAGTCAAAACAGTGCTTGATTTTTATATAACTTTCTTTTGAAGGATAAAGATGCCAAGTTCCGCCTGATTCTGATTGAAAGCAGAATTCACAGGTTGGCTCGCTACTACAAAACCAAGAGGGTACTTCCACCCAACTGGAAGTAGTAAGTCTTTTCTTTCATTCAACTCCTTTTGTGGAGCCTTAGTAAGTGATGTGCTGGGGCTGTTATCTGGAGGGTCAAGATGTGTTACAATGAGACATTTGGGTAATCCAGACAGTAAAGAACTGATACTTTTATGGGTATGAACTGAAAGTCACAAAAATTACAGCTGAGTGTGACACCAGTTAGGAAGTAGTCTCACCAGGTAAGATAGTAACTTTTATAGCAATGCAAACTGAAGTCTCTCGTCTCATTCAGGTACCTTTATATTTCATATTACTTTAAAGATAGTTTGAAAGCTCGTGATAGGTGAGGGGAAAATGAGGCTGAGCAAATTTAGTCAGCATTAGAGAACTCTCAGGTGTCTGAGCTTTTCTTAGCCTGAAATGACTAAGTGCTGCTTAGCAGGTTTTTGAAAATACTGTTTTGTTCTGTTATGGTAATTTTGCTGTTTTGGTATTTTAAAAGGAAGGGTGACTTTATCCAATGTAAAGTTTTAAGCAGGTCATGATTAAGCTGTGAATTGAAGCAGTTTTGTTTTGGCAACTAGTTTGAAATTTTGACTCTGCAACTAATATATATTTTCTCTTTCTCTTCTCCTCTCCCCTCCCCCCCCTTTCTTTTTTTTTCTTTTTTTGTTCTAGTGAATCATCAACAGCTTCTGCCTTGGTCGCATAAGAGCTGACTATCACTCAGTGAAAGAATAAACTTGCTTAACTAAGTTTGTGTTGTGTCTGAATGGTCGGTGCGTAATAAATATTTGCCAGGTTTGAGAGGCTGCACTTAGCTTGACAGTTCTCTGGTTGGAGAGGAAGTGTGGCCGTGGCTTCTTTACTGCTCTCCCATGGCTTCTGTACTGCTCTACGTAATAGCAAATTGCGGTGGCCATTTCTGCGACTCTAGGCCAAATGTACTGTTTTTGTGCTGAAAATTGATTTTTGATGTGATAGCCTTAAGAAAGAAAAGTGGCTTAATCATTCACAGCAAATATGTTAAGTAATATGTATGTCCTGCAGGAAAAGCTAGGGTAGTGACAGGAGGAGAAGCTGAAAATGTGGAGGTAGGTGGAATGGAGAGGTGGGTAGAATCATTGTACTGTGGATCTGCTCCTCTCAACAGGTCCACAAAGCTTGAGCAGACCCCAGGCAGTTCTCAGGGGCTGCATGCCCTGCACAGTGCCTGTTTGTGCTGCTTTGGTGCTCCATGAGCAGTCAGAGTCCCTTACTCGGGGGATGACATAGCATTAGTTACCTCTACCATTTCTAAGGTTAACTATCCCAAAAGCAAGTTCCTTTGAGATGCTTGGCAACTTTCCAGGCCTTGAGCTCCTGTTGCTTTCCTCCTTAGGAGCCCTGCTCATAATAGGGTGGTGTTAGTAATTGCTGGTGTAATTTTTAAGCTATTTTAGGTGAACTTTGAAATACTGCTAGATACAGTGGCATAGGTATTTTCAGGTGCTGTGTCTTTACTGAGGTAGTTTTGCTAAAGGAGACTGTCTATTGCAGAGTTGCAAGTACTGAAGATGTCTCCAGCTTCTGAACAGCAATCGCTTCATAGCGGTGCTGAAGAAATGCAGTGAACAGGCTGTGAATGTAGTGAAATGTAGAGAACCTTTTGCATTTTTTAGGAGTCTTGCAGATGAAGATTGTCTTACTGCATTGCTGTCAGTATTATACCTCAATCTTTACCTAGTGTGCTACGTAATTTTCATGAAATTGAAAAAGTCTGTAAAGAAAATTAAATTTGACATAACTTTTTTTGTGTAGTAGCTCCTCACTAGGTCTTGACCAGCAAGAATTGGTAACTTCCAGTGTAATTTTCATAAAAAGAGGATTTGTTCACTCTGATCACAAAGCAAATAAAAAACAAAATTGCTGAGTTAAAATTAATGTTAAAGTGCTGCAGTCTGTGTCTATCTTAAAAATAATTGCCGGTGTCTGCACTAATAAAATACTTATGTTATTTTTGTGTTTTCAGATATAACTATGGTAGCAACCTCCAGAGTTTACAGTGCTGGTAGCTCAAAATTGAGCTCTGATCAATTCATAGATTTCATGTATTTAGAAATGGCAATTTTTGCTTCAGTGTGGTCTTAGTAACTTAAGAGGAAGCAAAGGAGGTTATTCAGAGCTGGCAGTCCATAAAATGCAATTTCTGCATGAAGATAGCAGAAGGATAGACCTTACAGAGTTGGAATGTAAGCAACTTTGTATAAAGTTCCATGTAAACAATTGCACATCCTTTTAATGCAGTCATAGCTTTTCTTAAGAATCCTTGCTAGTGATTTCCCTTCAGTGCTCCTGGGTTTTACCTGACAGTTTCAGTGATCTATTAATGAAGTGTTCTGGGATGTAGATGCAGAGAACTGTCATCGTATTAACAAATTGTCCCAAAGTACTGCCTTTGGGGGTATTACCAAGTGGAAAGCGTGTTGATGCTTTTGCTACCCTCTGCTCGGAATAGCTTCAGTTTAAGTGAAGTGCCAGCAGGTGGCACTTTGAAACTTGGAGTTTTTTTTTTTTAAAAAGTTGTCCTGAATTGGCGCCTTGCGCCACCTAGAGACCAGGCGTTGAGACTGGGAGGGGCTGACCCAAATCCGGTGATGGTAAAGTGGTTCCACAGTTCCAAATATGTGGTGCCAATTGCTGCAGTGCTCTTAGGCACAAAGCTATTGAATCTTCCCCAGTTCTTGTACTTTGTGCTTATGGGGGAGGTCACTCTTGACACATGCTGGACTATGTCTTTCAGCACTAGTGCGGAATTGGTTTGTTGGGGGGATGCAAGTTGGCTGCGCTGTGTTTGGGTGGCATCCTTGCGTATCCTGTGATGCTGAAAGCTGCTCCTCTTGCCAGAAGGAGAGGAAAGGGGGAGGGTTGATACAGTGCTAGGGAAAGGTATTTGGCCTGCAGTAAGTTTGGATAGGGTGGTGAGGGTCTTCCTGATGGCAGGGAAAGGGAGAGAGGTATGCCCTATGTCCTGCCCCTGGAACTGTAATGATATTGTGACTGTCATGTATTGCATTTCTAGTATTTATGTAGCTAAAGATTTCGGTATTCTCCCTCATTAATAGAGGCCCATTTTTAAGTAAGCTGTTGACTCCGTTCAAGATCTTTATTCCCCTGCTCCTTTAATTTTCCAACAGAAATACAGCTCCAGTCTGACTCCTTTCTACTCCAGGTTTTGTGCTGGAGCTTCTGCCTGTATTCCTTTGACTTCTGCCTACACCTTTCTTCCTTGTTCTAAGTTTCTGGGATCTCCCTGACACACTTGGCTGTGTGTCCCATTTCCTGGTAAGGGAATTTTGGCCTTTTGCTAATCAGTCAAGCCAGTTTTCTTATGTCCCCTTAGGTGACATGAGTGTTAGCTTACCTTGATTTGAGTCAGTGGATATCAGCTAGAGCAGCACCCAAATGTATGAGTGCAACTTCTTTTTCTATTCATCTCCTGCAGTTCATCCAAGAATGGTAAGTGTGTAAAAGGGAGTTTTCATTCCTCTAATTACATCAATAGCTGATGATCCCCCCGCACAATTTCTATCTTCATTTTTAGGAGACATTAAGAGGTAGCAGTTAAAGAGGGACCGAAGGGAAAACTGATACAGTCACATCTGGAGGATGCTTGCTAGATATCTGCTCATCCAGAAGGATTTTGTGGTATGTAACTGACTGTTGTGGAGGCAAAAGCCAATTCTCACCTTTTTGACTTCTTTTGATCAACGGTAACTTTTCTTCTAATAATTAATTCCAGGTAAGGAAGCTTAAATACCAACTATTCTGCTGTTAATTCAATGCTGATGCTGGAAATACTAAAATTCTCTACCTGAAATAAGGGTGAGCCATAGCAACACCAATCACAAAGGACAAAAAGTATTTTTTTACATGTACAGCTGCCAAGGTTATGTGCATCTCTGCTCCCCTCCCCGGCAAATAGAGCTTCTAAAATGTATTCGCAGTTGCAGTTTTTGCCAGTATGCATTTTACAGTTTTCAACTTTTCTCATTGTATATGAATTAATGCCAAATAGCAAAATGTGAATGAAGTAGAATTCTTAATTTTCTGAGATGGGTGGAAGGAATTGTTTTTTTTTTTTTCTTGCTTACATAAAGGAGTTGCCCCAGAAACTACTAGTCTTCTCATCCCCAGCAAAAAAAAAAAAAAGTTTTTGTTTTGCTCTTTGTACAGTAAGTGCTTTCAGACTGCATGTTACGTGTCACGTTTTCCCCTCAATGGTTTTCAGTGTCACCACAGAATGTGAGGGAGAAAAATGTAATTAAAAAGCACTGCACGTGTTTCTTGGTACTCGCAGCTTATTTCTGTCCTGCCCCTGCGTGAAGAAGAGTAGGACCAGTTCTCCAAGGGCAGGTTTGGTAACCCTGCAGCTCTGGGGTAGCTGGTGTGTCTGGTTTAGGCCACTGCTGCTTCATGTTTGTGAAACTGTTCTGTTTCCTTTTCAGTGTTGGAATCAGACCATAGGAAAAAATGTGTTCTGTTGCTGGGAAGTCCCTTCAGTAACTCAGCATCATTTGCATGACAGTGCAGACTGTTGTCCTGCCTTGGTAACCTCCCTCAGCCAGCACATGCCTTGGCAACAGGAAATGGTTCAACTATGTTCACCGCACAAATGGGTTGTCTGTGAATGTCCTTTTCTTGCTGCCCAAGAATTTCTAGACGTATTTGCCTTCTGGTTAGAAATCTGTAACCCTTGTAATAAACACTCTTGCTGAGGAGTTCAAGTCCTGTCTCCCCAGCAGCAGGATTTATTGAAGACTTTAAGCAGCACAGATCTAGTAGCTGGAGTTTCATCAGTACAAAAAATTAATGGCATTGCATTATGGTTATGATGATAAATGGTAACATAGTCTGGCAGGACTTGGTAGCCAAAGTGCTGAGAGTTAATTCCTGGAGGGTTGCTCAGTCCTTGGGACAAAAGGAAGTGAGGTAAGGCCTGTTACATTAACCTGTGAGCTTGAAATACCGTGTGCAAATAATTACTTTGTGCCTGAGGAAAGAAGTGTACCTACATTAAAAGATCACCTGAGTTTTCTAGTGAGCGCTGGTTTTACAGCCTAATATTTTATTCCCTTTGTGGCTGCTTGCTGAAGACCCCTTTTCAGGTCAGAACTTCTTCAGAGCCAGGAAGGGGCTTTCAAGTTTAGTGCAGCTGTCAGGGATCAATCTCTTCTATAGCTCCTTCAAGTTCTTTATGATGCAGATGAATAATTTCCATAGATCATCCTTATCCCCATATTATGCCAGAGTGGGAAGAGGGTGGCTGGGGTTTTGAACTGAAGAAGCTGTTGACTGACTGGGTGAAATAACCACTGAGAGCCATTAAAGTTTGTTTAGGTAAAGTGAACTTTGAGAAGGATCCAAGCCTCAGAGGATCAGTTTTGGTGGGGAAGATGTTTAGGATTTTGAGGAAGGGGAATGGAATAGGTATCTCTTATTGGTAGACAGTGGAGCTCATCCAAACCTGGAGTGAAATTCAGACTGTAGAAATTGTTCTTCTCCTTGTAGGTTTGTGAGTGTTTTTTTTTTTTTTTTTTTGTAGACAATGCAAAATCGTGTCCTATTTTAATTATAATGAAGTCCATCCCATTTTGCTCAATTCTCACAAACGGCCTTGGCAAAACTAGGACTGTAACGTGATAAGTTCTGGAAAACCACTCATATCCCTGGAGTCTGTACTGGGCCTTCCCTTTGCCTCTCAGCTGTGTGCTAGC